CTGCGGCTGGATTTGCATGGGCATCGGTTGCTGTTGATACATTCGTTGATCCATGACTTGATTCGCCGCCACCAATGGAGCCGCCGCAACTGGAGCCGCCGCAACTGGAGCCGCCGCAACTGGAGCCCCACAGTACTCGATTCCAATGCAAATGAATTGGAGTCAAATGGTGGCGATGCAGCAGCAAGCAACCATGATGCAGAATTTCATGATGCCACAACAACAGCAGTACGTGTATCCCCAGATTCCGACCGTTCAGATGCAAGCCGCTCCACAGATCTTGCCCGCTCCCGCTCCACAGATCCAACAGCAACCGGCCCAACCACAGTCGCAGATTTGGTTTCGAGATGCCAACGGGAACTTCTTTCCGGCCAATCAGAATGGACCGAACGGCCCCCCACTTGGATGATCACCATGGTGTCGCACGGTGGAAATGGGGCATAGATTTGGGCATAGATCATCAAATCCGAACGGTGACCCGTCATGGTGGTTCTTTTTTACCGGTTGGTTTGAAGGAAAATGACATAGCTATTGCTGCTACTTTTCGATTGGTGAATTTATGGGAATATTTCAACCGGAAATGAAAGGAGTTGTCGGCAGAGTGCTTGTTTCGTGCATCATTGACCGTTCCGAGCGACGTTCCGACTGTTTCACCTCTATTAGTTGTCCGTTTGATAAGAACCCTTTTTATTAGTAACAAATACGTTTTTCCATTATCTGCTGGTACATGAGATAGCCATATGAATAGGCCCAGAAACTGGAAAAAACGAATTGTAACAAAAAGATACGGTTTAGTATTTTCGATCCCACAAAGCTATCAACATGAACGATTGATGGGAACCAATCCAACACATGGTCGCTGAAACAGACTCACATGGGCTTAACACGGTAACAACGTATGTTTATCATTTTCGCGGAATCTACAAAAATCCAGTCACAATCCAACGAACGTCCGAGGAGACATCTCTTATATAAATTTCCAGAATCTGTAGAATAGGATTGTACTGATTTTATACGGTGGAATATCCCGCAAACTGGATTTCTGATAAACGGCCGATAGATGTGAGTGGATTTCCGAGGATCGATGTCACATCAAATTTTTACTATAGAGACATCAGTAGAGAAATCCAATCGGATTCTGACATCAGGCCGTTACCGGCGATTTCAATCATGTTTGAAAAATTTCGAAATCCGAATCGGCCTATCGAGTTAAATAAGACGGGGATTTCGACCGTTGAGAACTTTCGACAGTAGAAAGTGTACCAGAGCTACGAGGGCGTTGGCGGGTGGATTAGATCTTGAGGGACAGGGCCAGACTTGAAGCGCCGATGCGCCGATCACAAAATTCCTTGGCCGATTTTAAATTTCACTACATGCGATTGGGGTGCTTTTTGCTTTCTCACTTCATCAAGCTCCTTCTTACACGTACCGGTATGTATCATCCCAGAGCCATCATCGCCACCATCACCAAGTCAACAACACAACTCAACCATTGACAATTCTCTCTCATACATTCTCTAGCGCTCTAAGACCCAAAGTCCAACCATTTCTGACTAGTTGGGTTTCCCACACGAAAAACAATCACACGGCAACCATGGCGCGAAAGAAACAGATCCATTCATTTGACAGCAGTTCTGACATGTCGACATCATCTTCTTGTTACAATAGCGTTGCCACTCAAACCAGCCACAGCAGTAGCCAAGGAAACAGCGACGAAGGCATCCCGATTGCGAAGAAAAAGAAATCAGGTCAATGTTCGTGCGAGACCAAAGTGGACCCGCAAGATGATGTGTCCATTCTATCCAATCGTCAAACACTTTTGGCATGCATCATGTTCTTTGTGGTGGGGGTGTACAGTGGTGTTGCCTATGTGGGCTGGGTCCAACTCTCATATGGGTTTGGCGTGGATCCGGAACTGGAAGAACGGTACTTGCCGTACGGTCCATCCACAGTGAGAGCTCGGGATGATGTTGTGGCTGCACCCTTGATTACATCGCCAACAGCCACAGCTACAACCAAAAAGAGAATTCAACTCAATCGAGACAATCGAAAACTGCAAAAGCCAATGGTCTCCACTCTGTTTGGAATTGAGTATGGCAACGTCGTTGGTTCTACGGCTGCCGATAGTACTGCTGCAGTAGATGATGATGATGCAGGAGATGAAACAAAAACATCGTCCTTTCAGATCTCTTCCGACTGGTATCGATTGGCGTCCACTTCGGCTGTGTCTTTGACTCCAAAGCAAGTCTCCATGATTCAAGCCCTAAGATAGCACTTTTTGATGTCAGGGAGAAAGGTCTGGATGTTTGTTGGCTTCAGCACTACTACCGGTATATCATTTTCGGAAGGCTCCAATGAGATACATACAGAGCTGACCCAGTCAGCGCCCCACGGTACCAGTATGGTTGTAATCAACTCCAGTGGGCCCTTCGGTGAAGGCAGCCGTCCACTGACTGCACATTTGTGAGAGACTTGCATTTGTAATTAGCTCTAGCTCTAGTAGCATTTTGGTTGTTCTATACGAGTACTTCTGGTACTGGTGTTTCTGGAGAGTTTGAATGGTTGATTTCTTTTGACTTGTATGCATGGATGGTTGCCATCCGTGCATGTTTCTAGTCCATTCTCAATCTCGCACTACTTGGCATGATAAGGCATGGTGGTCAAGAATTCCCGAGCTTCATCTTCGGTGCACCTGAGATGAGGCGGGTAGTACTCTTCAACACTGAACTGGAAGGTGTCAGTTCCCCCGAGCCAGTCCGGGATGTAGCGTTCTTCGATTGCTGTCTTCAAAATGGCCAGACTCTTGGCAGGATTGTGATTAGGCAAGACTTTGATCTTGTCTCGCACCTCTTTTGTGATGATTCGTAGAATAATAGAAAGCATGATTTGGCCTGGTCGAGAGAGGTTGACCAAATAGATCATACCTGCAACAAAGAGTGAAGCATTCAAAAGCGGTGTTTGTGAGTGCAACTGTACTACCGGTATGATATAGTCTACTCGAGTCGATTCTACCGTACGACGCAATGGACCACTTACCCACCGGTTTGGATAGTGATCTTGTAGCATGGTCACAAATTGCTTCAGTGACGCAATGGTTGGAGCTCCGGCGAGAGAAAATCCGCCACAATCAATGATGGCATTGAATTTGCCAGTTGAACCTCCGGTTTCCACCAAGGACTCTCCAGTGGCTCGGTCGGCTGCATGAATAATGCCTCGAAAGAACGTCAGATCATTTTTCACGTAATGGCCCAATCGAAGCCATACTATGGCATGCTTTTCTGCCTGTGCTGCTGGACTGAATCCCCGATGATAGTGTATCCTTGACATTTTCTTCCAGCAGAGTAGGTGGACCAACCATGGCTTGTAGTTTTTTCTCTGAATTCCAGAGTATGCGCAATAGCCCGTTCGGGAGAATCCACCGTCTCCACACAACCGAAATGGAAACTTTGGCTTGTCTTGCCATTTCATGATGCAAGATACGAATGAAGCAATGACCTGCCTGCCACCAGTTGGTTTCTGAGCAAAGGCCTTGCTGGATTGAGGTCCACCCCAGGAGACTTGTTTGGCCCGTTGAACGAGATTGGGCATGGTTGCGTGGCTCTTGGCGGTAATGT